GGGGAGGGGAGGCATGGATGTCCACGGCAGGGAGAGTGGGTGGCCACAGACCGGTGGGCCAGGGGGGATGCTCTTCAGTTCAGCGTGTGATCTCTGGCGGCCGATGGTGCCAACCGCACCCTGGCCACCGGCATCGGGGGCAGATCCCCGAGACCCTGCGCTGAGCACCTCCTTGCACTCGTGTGCCCAGGAGTCATGCCCCCCGACGAGTACCATCCGGGGGTCGACAACTCGGCGTACACCAACGTCCTGGTCCAGAACAGGTCAGACCCAAGACCCCTGCCCAAGTTCCACGTGCAGGGAGCCAGCCTGGAGGGCTAAGGCTAGAGCCCCCCCCTTCCTACGTCTACCCCTAGCCTGCGCTTTGCGGCTGCCCTGGCCCAGGACCTGGCTCAGCCTGTCCCCAGTGAATGGCTGGCAGTGGCCGATAAGATCAAGGTGCCCTTCGACCCAAGGCGGAACTTCCACCCTGAGTTTGACGGGTACCAGCCTGGTGAGTGTACTTGGAGCTGCCTTGGGGCCCCTTCCCCACCCCCTCCACAGGACTGGATGCCCCCAACCTGACTGAGCAGCCCCCACCAGCTTGTCTCCCCGTGAGCAGCACCTGTCCCTCCACAGGAGAAGAGGTGAAGCAGGCAGATGTCGTGCTCCTGGGATACCCCATCCCTTTCCACTTGAGTCCTCATACCCGCAGGAAAAACCTAGAGATTTATGAGGCCGTGACGTCCCCAAAGGGCCCTGCCATGACCTGGGTAAGGAGACTGCAGGGTGTGGGGGAGGGGCGGTCCTCACTAGCTTCTGTCTTCCCTCCCCACGCAGTGGGCTTCAACCCAGTGTGTTCTCTGACCTCTGACCTCTGGCCCCAGAGCATGTTTGCAGTGGGCTGGATGGAGCTGAAGGAGCCACGGCGGGCGCAGGACCTCCTGGAGAGGAGCTTTGCCAACATCATGGAGCCCTTCAAGGTCAATTCACAAGCTGACCCCACTTGCCTCCCACCCGGGCCCCTTGGCGGTAGGAGTGGGAGCCCAGCCTTGGGACGGGGGAGTCACCGCAGGGTCAGGACCCTTCTGGAACAGGGGCAGCAGCCTCGTGGCGCCCATGTCCTGGGAGTCAGTGCACTAACTGCCTTCCACGGGCAGGTGTGGACAGAGAATGCAGATGGGTCCGGCGCTGTGAACTTCCTGACGGGCATGGGGGGCTTCCTGCAGGCAGCACTGTTCGGATTCGCGGGGTTCAGGTGAGTGCGGCTCTGACAGGACATTCGCAAGCCCCCTACCTTCCCGCTCCTCATGAAACTCTTCCCTCCCCCCAGGATCACAGGGGCTGGCATGACCTTCGACCCCATGTGTCTGGCAGAGGTCTCTGGGGTACGCATCTACGGCATCTCTTACCAAGGGAACAAGCTTGACTTCTCCTTCTCCAAGGACTCAGTGACGATCGAGGTTAAAACCCGGGCAGGGCCCTGGGCCCCCCTGCTGGAGGCTGAGCTGTGGCCATCACACACTCGACTCCCCCTGCTCCCAGGTAGGCCGCCACCCCCAGACTCACCCAAGGGTGCAGAGCACGTCACCTCCCCAGGGTAACCCCCCATTCAAAATGCCCTCCTCCCCCTGCAGGGTACAGAGTCTCCTTTCCCTCCTCAGCTGGACGGATACAGAGGTCACTCTCGTAGGAAGCAGAGGCAGCAAGTTGTTCTCCAAGAGTTTCCTAGGAGAATTTTTGGAAGACGTTAGACACCTGCCCCAGAACCCACAGGACCCCCTGTGGGACACCATTGGGTCCTCCAACCCCCACCAGTTCCCTTGCCCTGGCGCTGTCTTGGCCACTGCACCTGACTGATCAGGGCTTCAGGGATGTCTCGGGTCCTCCCATCTGCCCGCTCCCTCTGTGGGCGCCCCCAGCTGGCTGCACCCTCATCAACACCCTCCTGGTCGGCTGAGTCCCTCCCTCCTGTCCATTCTCCAACCAGCAGTCAGGCTCACAGGCTCCAGGGAAAGTCTGAATTCGTTGGCCCGAAGTTTAAGAAGGTCTGCCTCCAGCCTGAGCCCCTCCCCCAATGGCCTCCTCAGCCACATCTGTGCCTGCCTTTGTGGCTGACACCTGCCGCACCTGTCCCTTCCCCAGGATGCCTCAGGGTGGGTTGGGGGCGTGGCTTCCTCTCTGCCGAGGAGGCAGAGACAGATGCAGGCCTCAGTGTGCGGGATGGCAGGGGTGGGGCATGAGGCAGAATTGCTCAGTCCCCTGCAGAATCCCTCAGGATTCTCATTTGCAGACCAAAAAGGAACCTGGTGTGTCCGACAGATGGGGTCGGGCACGGTGGGGTCGAGGGGCTCTCAGGCTGTCGTGGACCCTCCGCATCCTCAGTCCTTGGCTGCTCCAGCCCCTGGGCCACTTCGGTCAGGTTGGATGGTCTCCATCACAGGCCTTTCCTCAGCCAAGAAGAGAGGGGGATGGGCTGCAGAGCGAGACCTTACATCTTCCCTCTGACCAGCCAGAAGAACTGGGGCCAAGTGTGCATGGCTTCAAGGCCACAGGCCTGGGCCCATCTGTGCTGACGGGCTGCCCATGGCCCGAGGCTCTGTTCAGCCTCTCCCCCTGGGGCCTCAGCCCCCCAGCTGGCACTCCCACGTTGGGTCCTTGGGAATTTCTCAAGAGTGAGATGAGATCTGCCACCACAGTCTTGGTGAGAGCCCGAGGAATTAAAGTTGCGTGCTGAGAAAAGTTTGCCCTCAGAAGCTGGTACGCTCCTTCCTTCTGGAAGCAAGGGCTGCATGGTGGATGGGTCGGATCGAGAGGCGCAGGGACCTGCTCACTTAGAGCAAGCAGTTGGGCCAGCCACTTCCCTTCACTCTCACTTCGCTCTGGCAAACCCCTGTGCGCTCTCTGTTCTCGGTGGAGAGTTAGTGCAGGTTCTCCAAGAAGCAGACACCGGGCAGACAGAGCCACGTGAGGGAGGGGGGGGAAGGCAGGTGGCCAGAGGCGTCGGGGATCCCGAGGCTCATCTCTGGGTTACTGCAGGGAGCAGCACATGGGAAGAAGCGTGGCCTCCAAGCTGTAGAGCTGCATGCACGGCAGTGCTGATTCCCAAGGGTACGTGACCTCCGAGAACAGAGCCAACACCTTGGTGGGGCTCGCTTGGCTGCCCACAGGCTCTCCCTCAACTGCTGGCTGTGTGGCAAAGGACAGAGTGGACCTGCTGATGTCGGGTGGCTGGGGAGTGGCCCAGCAGAGCAGATGCTTATCTTTGCGGCCCTGGAGCCAGATGTGGGCGCAGACATCAGGTGGGGCGGTAGGTGGCCCCGTGTGTATAAGCCATGTATGTATGCAGTCCCCTGTACACATAGTGAGGTGACCCTCTGAGGGGGCCATGGTAGGGTGACAGTACCCATGTGCTGGCATGGCTGGTCAAGGCTGGCCGGGGCAGCCAACTGCCTAAACTTGGTCAGGGTCCCTCAGCCTCGCCAGGAGACGAGTCCCCTGTACACATAGTGAGGTGACCCTCTGAGGGGGCCGTGGTAGGGTGACAGTACCCATGTGCTGGCATGGCTGGTCAAGGGTCCGTGGCAGCCAACTGCCTAAACTTGGTCAGGGTCCCTCAGCCTCGTCAGGAGACAGTCTGGGGATAGGGAGGGCTGCTGGTGACCTTCCCCCATGACCAAAGGGGACAGCAGACCATCCCATGCTTAGGGACGTCAACCTGGCCACATGCAAGCTGATGCTAACTCCCAACCTGTGCACCCAGCACAGGTCACTCCCTTCTTGGGCCAAACCTGGTACTCAGGGTCGGCACGCTCTCTCCATCCTGGTCCAATCACTGGCACACTGCCCTTGTCCTTGGCACGACCTGGGACCGGCACCCAGCAGGGGCCAGGCCCCAGGCTGCTCACACCCCTACTGCAGGGGCCGGCTCAGAGCAGCACATGCTCCAGCTTACAGCTGGGCTACTGTTGGCATGCCGCCAGGACACCATCCCTACGGGCACACTGTGGAGACAGCTAGGTAAGTCGTTGGCTGTCACGGGAGAAGAGGGGACTCTGAGGCTCCAAGTACAGCAGCTAGACAGACCCCTACCCCCAACCCAGGCAGATGGGTAGGCAAAGGGGGCTCCCTGGGTGGGGAAGGAACCCTGGGTGGGGTGCTCAAAACCCTGAGCCGCCCGGCAGTTAAGGCCCCTGCAATTAGCCTGCCCTGTCATTGGACCGGCCACAGTGAGGCCTAAGGGACTTCATCCCCAGCCACACAGGGTGTGTGCATGTGCTTAGCAACCTCCTCTTGCCAGGCTCCGCTGGTTTCCGGGAAGGGGGGAACACCAAGGATGCCCAGAAAGTGTCCTCACTCCCAGTTTCCTCCCTTCATGCAAGTGTGTGTCTGTGTGATAAGTGTGTGCATGGGTGACAAGGACATGCCTGTGTGCTCGTGTGTCTTTGTGTCCAGCCCCGCTGACCCAGGAGGGAGGAAACCCACCGTGGGGACTAAGCTTTCTCAGAGTGCGAGGAGTGCAGGGGCCACAGGAACAGACAGAGTGACTCCCCCCAACCCACTGACAGAAACATGCAGGGCGAGGACCCAAGATGTCCTCCCAGGGACTCCCACTTAACACACGTGCACACACATGGGTAAGGGCACACGTGTTCTGGAAGGGGGGCCGCTAAACCAC